AGGGTTCAGGGCCAGCATGTTCCTGTTAGAGTGAAAGATAAGACTAGGAGGAATAGGGAACTAGAGTTATTGAGGCCCTGGTCTTGAAAAAGGAGGCACATGACACATATAGGCAGCTTGGATCAAGTGAATTCCTTAAGGAGTATAGAGGATGTCAGAGTATGTTTAAGATAGATAACAGGAGGGGTAAAAGAGGACACAAGATGGCTTTGGTAGATAAATTAAAGGAGAATCCAAACAGATTCTACAAGTACATGAAGGGCAAAAGAGTAACTAGGGAGGGAATAGGGCCTTTTAAAGATCAACAAGGTCATCCATGTGCGGAGCCACAAGAGATGGGTGAGAGCCCAAATGAATATTTCTCATATTTACTGTTGAGAAAGAAATGGATGCTAGGGAACTTGGGGAAATAAATAGCAATGTCTTGAAGAGTGTCCACATTACAGAAGATTAGGTGCTGGAAGTCTTAAAATACATTAAGGTAGATGAATCCCAATGATCTGATCAAGTGTATCCCAGGACATTGTAGGAGGCTAGGGAGGAAATTTCAGGGCCCCTAGTGGAGTGAAGTGCCCAAAGATTGGAGGGCAGCTAATATTGTGTCACTATTAAGAAAGGCTGCAGGGAAATGCCTGGGAATATAGACTGGTCAGTCTATTGTCTGTAGTGGGTAAGTTATTAGAGGGGATTCTGAGAGACAGGATCTACAGGCTTTGGAGAGGCAAGGACTCATTTGGGATAGTCAGCATAGCTTTGATCTTTGGAAATTGTGTCTCATGAATTTTTTTCAAGGGATGACTGAAAATGTAGATGAGGGCAGTGTGGTAGACGTTGTCTAAATGGACTTTAGCAAGGCCTTTGACAAGGTACCACATGGTAGGTTGTTGAGCAACATTAAATCTCATGGGATCTGGAGAGAGCTAGCCAATTAGATACAAAATCAGTTTGATGGTCGAAGACAGAGGGTGGTGGTAGAGGGTTGTTTTTCAGACTGGAGACCTGTGACCAGCGGTTTGCTACAGAGAACAATGCTGGGTCAACTGTTATTCATCAGTTATAAAAATGATTTAGATGAGAATTTAGGAGGTATGGTTAATAAGTCCATAGATAGCACCAATATTGGTGGTGTGGTGGACAGTGAAGAAGGTTATTTAGGAATGCAGAGAGATCTTAATCAACTGGGCCAGTGGGCTGAGGAATGGCAGATGGAGTTTAATTTAGATAAATGCAAGATTTTCTTTTTGGTAAGACAAACCAGGCCAGAACTTATACAGTCAATAGTAGCGCCCTGAGGAGTTTTATAGAACAAAGAGATCTCGGTGTACAGGTTCATAGCTCCTTGAAAATGGAGTCACAGGTAGACAGGGCGATGAAGAAGGCTTTTGGCATGCTCACTTTCATTTGTCAGAGCATTGAGTATTGGAGTTGGAATGTCTTATTGCAGCTGTACAATACCTTGGTGAGACCACATTTTGAGTACAGCATGCAGTTCTGGTCGCCCTTCTATAGAAAGGATATTATTAAACTAGAAAGAGTACAGAAAAGATTTACTAGGATGCTACCTGGACTGGAAGGTTTGAGTTATAAGGTGAGTTTGGGTAGTCTGGGAGTTTTTCCATGAAGCGTAGGGGACTGAGGGATAACCTTATAAAGGTATATAAAATCAAGATAAGGACTGATAAAGTAGATAGCTGACAGCTTTTCCCCATGATAGGGGAGTCTAAAACTAAATGGCAAAGGTTTAAGGTGAGAGGAGAGGGGTACAAAAGAGTCCAGTGGGATAATTTTTTCACATAGAGGGTGGTGAGTGTCTGGTATGGACTGCCAGAGATAGTGGTAGAAACGAATACAATTTTGTCATTTAAGAAACGTTAGGACAGGTACATGGATGGGATAGGTATGGAGGGATGGACCAAATGCAGGCAACTTGGATTAGTTTAAATTATGAAAACTGGATGGCATGGACAAGTTGGGCAAAAGGGCCTGTATCCATGCAGACCTCTATGACTATATCAGTTCATGTCAGGATTATAATAAAACAAAATTGACACCACACCAATGAAGTAGATAATGGAGTAAATGCTAGGTCAAAGAGATAGGTTTTAAAGAGAGTACTAAAGAAAAGAGAGGGTAATTGAAAGGCTCAGAGAGGGTATTTCAGAATTTAGGCCACAGGCAGCTAAAGACATAAATACCAATAGTGGAACAGTTAAACTACCAATGCTCCAGAGAGTAGAATCAGAGAACTTCCGATATCGTGAAGGTTTCTAGGCACGAATGCACGGTTTATCCATTGCTCTATCTTTATAATCCATTTTAGCAGTTTATTTTCTCAAACTCTGTCATTAGAATTTTGTAATTTCCTTTATTTTGGTTGTCTATCTGGCATCTCATGTCCAAATGTGCACAGTTCTATGATGGTCTCTTAAATTTTCCACTCGGTCAATGTCCTGGTCCTTATCTTCATCCTCAGTGGATTGTTTTCAATTCCCTATTTTGTCTGCATCCAGGATATCACACCTTTGTCAGCTCCAGTAATGAAGAGCATGCTACATTGATGTGGCTTTTCACTTGCTGATCCTTCCTCTGGAGATTGAACAACTGGTGGAGGTCCTTGTTCTGTCTGGCCTTGCTCAAGACATTGTAATTAACGTATTCTGAGATACTATTGTCACATGTCCAGTGAAGCCACAAGAAAACCTCCAGATGCACCTTCTATCTCCGACGTGTGAGCCAAGAGTTTGTCAGGAATAAAACAGCATATCAGTAATAGTATTCCTAGTCCTTTACATAAATTGCAATGACATGACATATTATATCTGAAAGTCTGGCAAGGCCGTTTTGCAGGAGGCCAATATGTTGCCTCAATAAGAAACTCTGAGCTATGTATCCTTATACTGATGAACATTGCTAACTAAAAATGCTAATGTCACATTGGGGTAGTGAATTTCAGGCATATTCATCATATTAGCATCTGTCTCAAATAGGCCTTCAACATCACAGATCATGCCATTGCACTCTTGCAGTTGGATTTGAGAATATAGCAGTTTTGAAGCATTGTCTTCCAGTGTCCAGTGTGAAAATGATGCAGAAGTGGCTAACCCTGTTGAGTCTTTCATAATTGCATTTGCATGGATGTGCTTATCTGACTTGACTGGGGCCAACTGATGCAAAGTATGTAAAAGTCATGATTGCTTGAAGCTATAAATTTTAATCTTCAATCTTGCAAAAGCAACTACCTTTCAATGAAATTCAACGTGATAGTGTGGTGATAATTAGTCATAACAAGATTAATACAATTTCTCCTAGCAGGCCCAAACGTACAAAGAATTGTACTTCACTCCTAAAGAGGACTTACTCTGCTCAAGTTGCATACGATGGCAATTATTTGATTTGTTATTGCACAGTTGAGTTTGGTGCAAAGATGGCAAGGTTTGAGCTTGTTGTCTTTGTCGGTGAGTTGCAGGTTCTGCCTGAGATGAAAGATGATTCACACCACACCCCTACCCTTCATGTTCCCTCTTTTGGGGTTACCATTTCTGTATCCCCAGTGACCTTTCAGCCCCCAGTTGTTTTCTTTTTATTCACTCGTGGGATACCTCCAAACTGGTACGTCCTCAGCACTCTGATTGATAAACCTGTGATATTCAAACTTGCTTTATTAAACCTCCAAGACTATGGCCCAATCCCCTAGCTGCAAGGACCCTGATCCCAAACTCTAATCGGACCAAGCACCCAACTGATTGCGACTGCAGCCCTTAACTGACTTTGCTCCCCCCCTTCACTACACGAAGAATTGGTCACTTTTGACTTGCAGACATGGCCAATTGATTGAAGCACATACAGTGTGTTTGTTGCATAAGCTGCTGGCACATGTTTAAAGTGTGATGTTGATGTAGACTATTGCATAGAAATAAGACAGCAACATGTTTGGCTCCTTGACTGTTCAGTGCTCTGAACTGCAACAAGCTGTCCATCTCTCCATATGTACTAAAATGCAATGCAAGCCTGTTGACAGGAGGTTGACAGCCTGTAAATTAGGTCTGGAGAATCTACGGGCTGAAAAGCAATGCAAGCCACACAAAGGCCATTAGCCTTGAAGTAAGCGCAAAGTGAGTGAACACTAAGAAAGTAAGATAAGAGCCATAAGAAATAAGAGCCATTGTGTGTAGGTGCATGGGATGAATGTATATCCCTGTGAGCAAAATGACCTGACAGTAGCACGCAGGGAATAAGTGTGCCCAAAATTCAAAATGAGATACTGAAGGACTGAAGTGGTGTGAGAATTAGTCCACAAGCAGCCATGATGATGTGATGAGGCTGGAGGACTGAAGAGATGTCCATGGAGCATGCAAAGAAATTGTTGGATGAAGGTCCAGAGAAGCAAGTGGCAAGCTACTGCTGCCAGGTATCTGTTCATGTTGGGAATTAGCACCACCCAGTTTCTCTGGGAAGAAACAGAGGATTGGGAGCTGCCCAGAAATAAGGCAGTATGAGTTAATAATGGGGATGCAAATACATGGAAATAAGGTACTGTTGCTCATTAGCTAGATTCAAAGTTCCCCATTTAAATCTTCAGGAGAAAATTTTATTGTGATATCGAGTATCTGATTTTTCCATTCTCATCATATTTTCCCATATTTTCTTGCTATTATTCATACACTTAAGGCAGCAGGAATTTGTTCCCCGCCACCGCCCCTCCAATTATTCTACTGATATTTGAGGGCAGACTGATAGTTGGTGGGGTTGGAATTGTCTTTTTTGTGAACCTGGGTATTAGCAAGTCAAATTTACTAAAGAAGGGTGCTCTTTTACGAATATAAATACATATTTAAAACAGGAATGCTTGTATGGGTGAGAACTTTAGGCACCAGGAAACAAAACAGCAGACTGCAGCCAAATTTGTGAGCAAGCTGTGTTATAGCAGCTGGAAATGCACATGCAGATGTGACAGTATGCATTGGGAACATGTGGGTATGTGTTTGCAGCAGGAATACACATTTAGGTATTCAGTATTTTTATTCTTTCATGAAATGTGGACATTGCTGCTACAACCTAATTGTCCTGAGAATGTGGTGCTGAATCACTTTCTTGGCCATGAAGTCAGTTCATCTGGTGTGGGTACACCTGCATTTCTGAAAGGAAGTGAGTTCCAGGATTCCTGCAACAGTGAAAGAATAACAATATAGTTCCAAATCAGGACAGTACATGTCTTAAAGGGGAACTTGCATGGTGAAGGATGCATTCACATGCACCTGTTGATCTTTTCCTTGGAGGTTGAAGAGTTTGCATGTTTGGAAGATGCTGTTGAAGAAGACTATGTAAATTGTTGCAGTACGTCTTGTTGAAGGAGAGAATTCCAACACACTCCTGACTTGGGCCCTGTAGATGGGACAGACATGGGAGAGTCAGAGAGTGAATTACTTCCTGCAGATTCCTATCTTGCAATCTGCTCTTTGTAACCACAAGTATTCATATGATCACATTAGTAGTCATAGCAATGAGGAGGTTGGTTAGCTCAGTTGGCTGAGAGGACAGGTTTGTTCAATTCTCACACTAGCTGAAGTCATCATGAAGGTTTTGCCTTCTCAATTTTACCTGAGGCTGTGGTAAACCTTAGGTTAAACTCATCACCAATCATCTCTGTCTATGATAATTTTTCAGTTCAATTTTTGGTCAATGATTATACCTTAGATGTTGATAATGGGGGAATGGTAATGCCATTGAAAGTCAAGGGGTAATACAGTCATAGAGTTACACAACAGGAAAACAGCCCCTTCAGTCCAACTCATCCATGCATACCAGATATCTTAATCTAGTTGCATTTGCCAGCATTTGGCCCATATCCCTCTAAACCCTTCCTATTCATAAACCCATCCAGATGGCTTTTAAATGTTGTAACTGTACCCATCTTCACCATTTCCTCTGACAGCTCGTTCCATGCATGCACCACCCTTTGTGTGAAAAAGTTGCCCCTCAGGTCCCTTTTAAATCTTTCCCCTCTCACCTTAACCCAATGCTCCTTAGTTTTGGAGTCCCCTACCCTGGGAAAAGACCTTAGCTATTCACCCTATCCATGCTCCCCATAATTTTGTAAACCTCTTTCAGGTCACCTGTCATCTCCAACACTCCAGGGCAAAAAGCCCAAGCCTCTCCCTATAGCTCAAATCCTCCAATCCCAGCAACATCCTTGTAAATCTTTTCTGCACCTTCTCAAGTTTAACAACATCCTTCCTAAAGCAGGGAGACCAGAACTGAATACAGTATTCTAAAAGTGGCCTCACCAATATCCTGTACAGTTGCAACATGATCTCCCAACTCCTATACTCATTGCATTGACCAATTAAGGTAAGTCTGTCATGTGGGAGGACAGAAGACTATTGGAGTTTGCATGCAGTCTTCCAGGGAGGATAATGTATTCAAAGACACTTAGTGCCTGATCATGTGACCTGGCATGTGGAGGACGGGGGGTTGATGGGGGAATGGGTATTGATGGCAAGATCCCTATCACTGCCATCAACTTCTTCCCAGTGTCATTTTTTAAAAATTGATTCATGTGAATGGCCGTTGCTGTGTAGACCAGCATTTATTGTCCTTTCCAAGTTACCCTGGAGAGGGTGGTGGTGAGCTGCCTTATTGAACAACTGCAATCTATTTCTTATTGACCCACATATCACTAGTCAGGGATTTCCAGTATTCCAACCCTATGACACTGAAGGAACAACAATGTATTTCCAAGTCAGGAAGATGAGTGACTTGGAGAGAAACTTGCATGTAATGGTATTTCTGTATATCTGCTGCCCTTGCCCTTCTAGATGGTAGTGGTTGTGGGTTTGTGAGGTATAATGAGCCTTGGTAAATTTTTGTAGATTATCTTGTAGAAGGTACATACTGCTGCTAGTGAGTGTCAATAGTGGAGGAAATGAATGTTTGCCGATGTGGTGCCAATCAAGTGGAATACTTTGTTCTGGATGGTGTCAAGCTTCTTGAATGTTGTTGAAGCTGCACCCCATCCAGGCAATCGGGGAGTTTTCCATCAAACTCCTGACTTGTGCCTTGTGGATGGTGGACAGGCTTTGGGGAGTTAGGAGGTGAGTTACGCGCTACTGAATTCTTAGCCTCTAAACTGCTTTTGTGGCCACAATATTCATATGGCAAGTCCAGTTCTGTATCTGGTCTTTGGTAACTGCCAAAATGTTGTAAGTGGTGTATTCAGCAATGATAATTTCATTGAATGCTGTGGAAAATGGTTAGGTTCTTGCTTATTGGGGATGGTCATTGTCTGGCACTAATGTTACTTGCCACTCATCTGCTCAGGCCTGGATGTTGTCAGGTTTTGCTGCATTTGAACATGGACCAGTTCAGTATCTCAGGAGTTGCAAACAGTGCAGAACATTGGTGAACATCCCCACTTTTAACCTTATGATGGAGGGAAAGTGAAGCAGCTGAAGATGACTGGGCCCCATACATTACCTGAGGAATTCTTGTAGAGATGTCTGGAGCATTGTAAGTTGATCTCAGAATCCCTACAATGTGGAAAGAGGCCATTTGGCCCATCAAGTCTGCACCAACCCTCCAAAGAGCATCTCACCAATGCAGTCCTCCACCCTATCCCCATAACCCTGCATCATGCCTAATCCACCTCGCCTGCATATCCCTGGACACTGCACAATAATTTAGCATGGCCACTTGCTCCTAACCTGCAGATCTTTGGACTGTGGTAGGAAACCAGAGCACCTGGAGTAAACACAAACGTACATGGGGAGAATGTGCAAACTCCACACAGGTAGTCACCCAAGGGAGGAAATGAACCCAGTTCTCCAGCACTGTGATGGAGCGGTGGTAACCACTGAGCTTCCACGCTGCCCCAAATGTGGGCGATCATTGAGATGTTCATTGGAATACTCCAGTCTAGAGGTAACAAAGACAGGGATGAGTGTTTTAGCAGAATATAAACTAAGACTGGGGTGAACTTTGGTGATTCTTTTTATGTTCATACGTGTTGAGTATCACTTCCACAATGGAAGGTGGAGCTCCAAATTCCACAGACAGCCCCGTGCTGAGTTGGGGCCGGATAAAACTCCTCTTTAGCATTGGCCACAGTATTTCCGGCAGATGTGACAACACCTGATGCATTTCAGTGCGCACACCCACCAGTCTTTTTCTTTCATTGCTTAAATGAACGGCAGCACAAATTTGAAGTTGGCATCCTGCCTGTATCAGAAGTTACAGGTGTGGTTTAATCGAGTATCCTGATACCTCCCCATTATTTTTCTGGTCTTCTCAAATTTCCTGGCCATAGGGTTTTTTGATCCAGTTGAAGAAAGCCAGGGGCGGTTAGACTTGTTGGAGATGGGTCATTGTGTGGTGTGAATGCCACTCGCCCAGGACCACCACTGGATGGTTTTCGACTGGCTTTCTAAGGAGGTGGGTGTGACCGTCTTTGCCAGAAACGTATGCAGCAGTGCTACAGGATGTAGTAACTCATCGCCGTGCTGTTGGTGATGTGGGAGGCGGGTTTTAGCCTGACTGGGGCCTGCCGTACCGCCACGTCAGTGAGACTGTACTGTGGCGGAGGAATGAGGGAGGGGACCGGGGTTTCTGTGGCAGCGGCGTGGAGAAACGGAGAGGCGGGACTACTACCAAGGCCGTCCCCTGTTGGGCCCGGCCCCCATTCCCCTTGTCTACCAACTCCATGTGGCTGCCGGCACCTTTGATGCTGCGTGTTTAAATATGAGCGTGCAGCAGCCGGACAGGGAAATGCGCGGATATTTAGCAGTGGCTTAAGAGATTTATCACAGAATTCTGAAACAGAAAACGATTTTTCCCCCCTTTCGGGCCTACTCACTGTGTCGGCGGTGAGACGGTTAGAAAGATTGGTAAACCATCATGAAAATTCTCTTTGGCGTTCAGTAAAATCCGTTTCCGTTTTACAACCCCTTCCCCCTCCGAAAAAAAACAAATATTTTGTTTGTTGTAAACCAAACGCTAATAACTCAATCGTTGAACGGAAGGTAGTCCGTTGGGCTCGAGCTCGGTTTGAATCGAATCGAACGCGGGGCGGTTAAGGCTGGACGGCTCGCGCGGCTCCGGCCGTTTGGGGAAGGCGATGGATCGGGACCAGGACCAGGAGCTGGCCCTGGCCTTGGCCGCCCACCGGGAGCAGCTGGAACGGTCGGGCCAGGCTCACTTGCTCCGCTTCTGGGACGAGTTGGACCAGGCCGAGCGGGCCGAGCTGCTGGGCGACCTGAGCGGGTGCCACTTCCCCGAGATCATGAGCTTCTTCAACCGGGCCGTGTCGGCGCCGGTGCCGATCCAGCAGCAGATGGACGAGCAGATGGAGCCGGTGCCCAGGGAAGTGCAGGGCAGCGTGTCCAGAGACTGGGAGAGACTGCCCGAGTGGAAGGCAGAAGGTAAGAGCTTAGCGAACTCGGTGACTTATTAAGATGAATCAGAGGAGCAGGAAAGCTGACGTTTCGGGTCTGGACCTCCTGCTCCTCTGGTGCTGCTTGGCCTGCTGTGTTCATCCAGCTCTACACCTTGTTATCTCAGATTCTCCAGCATCTGCAGTTCCTACTATCTCTGAAACGACTTCTTAAGATGCCCGCTTTTGGTATCGAACACTTAAACCTGTTGGGTGAGGGAATTGGTGCAGCACGAAAGCGCAGCTATAGACCTGAGAGAAGTGGTCTATCGAGTGTTTTGATACCACCACTGCCGAATAGCTACCTCCCTGCCTGGATCCTGTCAAATCGCTGTCTGGGATGGTTGGGTGGGACATCTGTGACACCAGCAAAAAATGCAAATTTTCCAAGAAACGAAAGTTATGCGTGCGTATGGTTTTCTATTCTAATTATCTAACTGAGTCTAGGAGCCACAGTAAACTGAGTTTTTTCTCCGCTGGCATTGTTTTATTGGGCTTCTACACCCTCTGTTTTTTCTTTAAATAAACCCAGTACTCGGGTTGAAAACTGCTGCATGCTGTCTATTACTGTCTGTGGTAAAATTGATGCAACAAGTGCGTCTTATTTTTGTCGTTTGCCAAGTTTTGATTGGTCAGTTTAAGGGGTGTTTTGCTTTACAAGTGGCACCTGGTACATATGGGGCATGTGGAGGACCAGAGTGCATGAAGTGCAAATGGGACCCAAATGATTGTTAGAAATGTCAGATGCGAAAGTGGAGGAAAAAAATAGAAGGTAAAGGGACCCCAATGACGAAGTTACCCTGGCAGACAAGATTATTTCTGTGAGGAATGCGATCGAATAAGAGAGATGGAAGAAATGGGATGGGAATGCCATGAGAGAAATGCCTTCGGATGAGAATGGTGTGTGGAAGGTGGATGCGATGATATAATTAGTTGAGTAACAAAATGGCACAGTCATTTAACTTTTTATTCAAAAGCTAATCACCATGCTAAAATTGAGGTTTTAATAGATTTGAATGAAAAAGTTACAGAGAGGCTGTCATCTTTAAAAGAATACATCAGTGCTGATTCTATAGATGAAGAACAGAGTAGCAGTCTAGATCATCCACAGTATTCAAACAATCTGATTCCAATGGGCATTGGGGGCAGCACGGTTACTCAGTGGTTAGCACCTCACAGCGCCAGGGACCCCGATTCGATTCCAGCCTTGGTGGCTGTCTATGTGGAGTTTGCACATGCTCCCGTGTCTCCGTGGATTCCCTCCCACAGTCCAAAGATGTCCAGGTTAGGTGGATAGGCCATGCTAAGTTGCCCGTTGTGTCTGGGGATGTGAAGACTAGGTGGATTAGCATTGGGATAGGGTAGGTGAATGAGTATAGGTGGGATGCTCTTCAGAGGGTCGGTGTGGACTCAATGGATCAAATGGCCTGCTTCCACACTGTAAGGATTCAGTGAACATCTCTCAAACTATTAAAGCAATACAGTTGCAATAAAGATACTGATACACCCACAAATGTTTTGTGGGTCTGTACTGGTCTTTCGTAATCTCAAGGTTATTTAGGGTCAAGACAATTTAGTGACATTCACTTCAAAGTAGAATGATCCACCGTTTCAGGTAACACTTGTTTATAATTTGACTATTTCTAATTTTTTATTTATACTTCTAATAAAAACATTATTTTGATGTGGAAGTTTCTTTTGATAAAGCCATTCTGTTGGTTGGAAAGCAAAGAAGATGAACTTTTAATGTAGAGAATATCATGGATATTTCAAATTTGTCATGTAACTGAAAGCAAATCCTTCAGAATGTAACTGAACTTGGAAGTAATTAATAATTCCAAACTATGTCAGGTCATGACTGATATTGTGGTAGACATCAGTGATCAAGATAGCGACGAAAGGATTTGTGTTTCCTAAAAGATCGGTTGTGTTGAGGGTGCGTTAAAACTTTGCAGAATAATTTACAATTTATTGATAAAGCAGGTTAAATTCAACCTTGATAGTGAACAAATTTTCAATTTTATGTTCATAAATACAATGAATTAGATTGAAATGGCAGACAATAGGCAGTGACCTTTATGTGTTGGTTAACCCACCACTTTCATACTGAGTTCAAAGTGGAAAAGTAATTACGTCAAAACACAGAAAATAGAACAGAAGTTACAAAGACCAACAAACGTGAAAATGTACAGCAGAACAATTAAGTGCACTTTCCAGCAGTGCGGGGGCCAAGTAATTAACTGGTCAGGCGAGATTTGAACCACTGTGTTCATTATGGTTCATGAAACATCTGTGAACTTTGGAAATAACATGCAATGCACCACACTGGATAGGGGAGAGCACTGGGCGGTGCAGTGGCATAGTGGTGAGCATTGCTACCGCACAGCGCCAGGGACTTGGATTTGAAATCAGCCTTGGGTGACTGTGTGGAGTTTGCATGTTCTCTGTGTCTGCATGGGTTTCCTCCGGGTGTTCTGATTTCCTGCCACAGTCCAAAGATGTGCAGATTAGGTGGATTGGCTATGCTAAATTGCCCATAGTGTCCTGGGATGTGTAGGCTGAGTGGATTAGCTATGGTAAATGTGGACTTATGGGGATAGGGTTGATGCTCTTTGAATGGTTGGTGCAGATTAAATGGACCAAATGGCCTCTATCTGTAGGTTTTCTATGATTTTATATTGTAGATGTTGGAAATGTAAAACAAGAACAGAAAGTGCTGTTAACAGATATAGGTCAGCCAGGATCTATGGCAAGAGTGTACTGAGTTAATGCTTTGGATGCAGATTTTTCAACTCTGAGCAATAAGAAATATTAAGACCCCCAAAGAGACAAAGACTGCATAAGTAATCCAGAAGTATGTTTGGGGAAATGAGGCAAATGGCAAACTTGTTTGAAATTTGAAAATGATGTAACTAAGCCTGGAGTTAATGATATCAGGGCTGCCTCTGTCTAAGTCTTTTTGATCTGTACATCTTTTTCTTACTATGGTCTACTGTACCACTTGTAAACAAAGTTTTTCACTGTATTTCAATAAACGTGACACTAAATAAATAAATCAATTAATCAATCAATCAAATGCCGAGAAGGAAATTAAATATTGGTTTTGAAACTTGTTTTGGAAGAAATTCTTCACAGGGTAGAGATCAGAGGGTAGAGTATTAAAGTAGCAATCTACTTGAGAGCAAACTAACAAAGTCGTAACCTAACTTTTATTCTCTCCAATTTATAGAGGAGACTGCACGTTAGCATATAGTGGATGCTAGATTAGTTGAAATATACGTAAATTATATTTTTGTGGGAAGTTTGTTTTTTTGTCCTGAAAAGTGAATGGGCTGGTGATGCAGTTCATACTTTAACATGGGGATTAATTGGTGATGGGTAAATAGAATGTGGGAGGATGAAAATGTGAACCTATGGTATCGCAAAAGGAACAGTCTCGTTGGAAAATGGGAAGGTGAGAAAAAGAACAAATGTTCTGACTATCAAATTATGTTGTGAATGGTGGAAGAACCAATCTTTTTGTTCTGTGTGAAGCTGAATTATGAAGAACAGTTCGAAATGTCGGTTGTAAGTTTAAAAATAAGTGGTTGAGGTATACATTAGAATGCTGTGAAGAAGATAAGAGCGAAGGACTAGCTTGAAAGAGAAAGCCTTTTTTCTGCTTTTGCCTATTATAAGCCCTGTTATAATAATTTAGAATTTGGAAGGTATTAGAAAACATTATTTGGATTTGTTTAAATTATGAATACAGAACAAATTTACTATCATATCCGTCAGCAACAGAAGGAAGAGCAGATTTATAGTATATGGAAAATCCTAAGTATGGAAATTAGGTAATAGATATCACTATGTTTAAAATGGGATCCCATGACCATAACTATGTAGGGCTCATGGATTATCTTCAATCTTCTTCCTAATGGCTTCAAAGGAAATCAGATCAACAGCACATAAAATCTCCTCAATTAATATCTGTACCTTTCCAAAGTTGTTCAGAAATGAAAGAAATCAAAAGCTATGTATCTTTTCATAATTGCATTAGGTTGTGTCGTGTTCACAAGATTTTAACTATAAGAGAGCTCTGCTTGCAAATACTATTTCAGCTGGACACATGAAAATGACTTTTCTAAAAATGTAAATAATGGGAATCTCAAAACAGAAAATGTGGGAAATACAGAGTAGTGAGCATCTGCAAAGAGAATAAGCACGTGTGAACCCATAATCGGATAAATGTAAATACTGTACACTGATTCAAAAACTCACTCGACTGTAACTCACTTATCAGTACCTGGATGAATAATTTACTTGCTTAAAATGTCTCTTCAACTTTAAATTCATAGAATAAAGCTAACAGATATAGTTGTTTGCAAGTAAATATTAACTTGTCAACATCTTCTTGCCCTAAACAATGGCCTGGACTGTCAGAAATTCAGTGTGAGCACATACTTGCCAAATTTTATCACTGGTGGAAATAACCCTGTAACCTCTGTTTCTGTGTTATTGCATAATTGATTGATTATAAATTGAAATAGACTAAAATTTAATTTTAAAACTTCTTATTTTGTTGGCATTACCAGGAAACATTACATAGTAGGTTCCTGCATTATTTGTTTTAAGGCCTTGATTATTCAAAATTGTTCAGTGACCCTGAATAAGGACAAAACAGCACTGCATGAATATATTACAATATAAACATACAAGTTGAAAGTACAATAGTTTTAAGGCAAATTGGTGGAAAATAAGCAAAGCTGTTTTGTATAAAATTAATTATAGGAAACAAAAACTGTATGCTTACAGAATACAATTGGCCCAAAGTTCGCTTCAAATCAAGTCCATTTCAAAACCCATTAAATGGTAAAGAAAACAAAAAAGGAATATCTTCACAAGTACATTTAAAGAAACTTAAGCTCATTTCAAAAATGAATAACTTTATGACTAATCATCTAACTCAGTTACAGTAAAACAATTATGCAATTGCAAAACTTGCTTGAA